CCAGCGCCTAGAAACTCAGTCTGCAGTGTCACCGGGTCTTTGTTCTCGCGTCCTGGCCTCCGGGATTGGGTGCGGCCTACCTGGCTCTTTGCGCGCTTTTCGGCTGGGAATCGCGGTGGTATGAGTCCGGCCCACGCTCGGACCCAGGAGCGCTGCCTCTTTAAGTTATTTATATTTTGGTTTCTCATGTAAGAGAAACCATGATACGGAACCTTCTGTGTCTGGCTTATGCATTTGATATTCTAGTCTCAAGATCCATCCCTTTCTCTATAAATGACTCGAGTTTATCCTTTATGTAACACTCCATATTCCTCATTTATCTGTTGCATTTTTTTCTTCGGATAAGATTTCTTCTTAATTCTCTAACTAAAACAAGGACAACCAGTACTACTCAGTTTATTCCTTCCCTCGCCTTCTCTAGTGTAAAACAGACTGTGAGAAGGTAAACTAATATTCAAACACGTATCAACTTGGAATGAATTTGGAATAAGCATAGTCATAGAGTGTGTGATGCACTAGCTCTCTCTCTCAAGATTCTACTCCTGCTTCAAGGTTTATTTTTGTTTTGATAAACTTTTTAAAAATTATTTTCCCTCTCCATTCTTTAAAAATTATCTAAGTAGTTAGCTATCACATTTGAAATGTGGGATTTCTTTAATGTTTTGATTTCCATAGAGACAACAGAAGCTCAACTGTATTACTTTGCAAATATCGGTACAGAATATTGGACAGTGATTGTTTTTATAAGAGGTTTCTACGAGCCTTGCACTTATTCTGGATCTAGGATTAATTGAAGTCTGGGGACAAACTCCCATGAGGTAGTCCTCAAGGGCTCACCAGTTCCATGGCACACAGAAGCTCTGGAAGGACTTGATCGGGTCCAGAAGATGGTGCTGAGCCATCACAAATGGTTCCAGACCTGACCCAGGTACAGAAAAGACCCACAGATGCTCCCTTTCAATGGACTGTGAGATGTCAGATCAACTTCTCAGGAGGACAATCGGCTAATTTAATGCAAAGAGATATGACACACACGAAGAAAGCCCTGATGTCCATGGGGCAGTAGTAAGTGGGAGGCTAAAGGCTGGAAGAGGGAAATGTTAACCTACTTATTAAGAAGATGATTGTTTTCTATGCAGGAAATTAACTCTGGCTATTCATCCAGTCCTCAAACCACAGCTTTTGAACAGAAACCTTTGAAAAACAGAAGCAGGTGAGTTTCGACCACGTGAAAAGGAAAGGTGCTTCTAGCACTGACTCATGGTGTATGAAATGCATTTCTTCAATGAAAAGAAGAGGTAGGAAGTAAAAACTAAATTTCCCATTGTGTAGATCAGTATATGAATGGCTGGAGAGGTGGAAAAGAATCCTGGTGGAGAGAGACTTTGGAAGAAGCTTTCAGTGTCTTAGTTTTTCACAAGCCAATGCCTGATGAGGGACACAGGAAGACACACTGCTGCTTCCTCCTGGTCCTTTGCTTGAGATTTCACACAGGCCTATCTGAAAGGCAGGGGGGATCACATAAGAAAGGACTCTGCCTCTTACGGGAGCCCCAACGTGCCAACTACTGGCACTGGGCTACCATCACTGCTACTCTTTCCTCCCCCGCACTGCCCTTGGGGCGAGGGCTGGGCCCCAGCACAGCAGCTCAGCTTCTGGGGTTGCTGTGCCCCGGGCTGGGAGGAGCGCTGCTGCTCCTATTGTGCAGACAAGCACCTCGTTCAGCCTCCCTGGACACTGTTTTCCAGACGAGAGGGTTAGGGCGATGAGGGGAGAAGCAAGGGAGTGGTGGGTGCCAGCAGCGTGTCTACACACTGGAAACAGGGCCCGCCTTGTGACTGACACAAAAATGTTTCTGTGGAGCTTCTTTGATTGTAAACCAGTAAGGCTCAGAGCTTATGCATGGAGAAGGCAGAGTGTGACCCAGTCGCACATACTGCGACTTCCCAGAGGGAAATAAATGAAAGGGTGTCACTGCTTATACTCGAGGCAGCCCACAGTTAACTTTCCAGTTCCATTTCTAGAGGGAACCAAGCTCATCAGTATTGGCTACTTGAGAACAAAAATGTATATTTTAGCAGAAAATACTTTGCAATAATTTTGTTAATATACTGTTTGCAGGTCATTTAGTCAAGATTGAGTATCTGATTTGCTATTGGATTAAAATTACAATGTATTAAAGTTAGATGTGCAATGGTTTTATTAATATTCATTGATTTAATATCATTGTGAGGAAGGCAAAGCAGCCTTTTAGATCAAGTGGCCCTTGGAAAAACTGAATCACTGAGCTGTACGTTAATATCCAACCTCCAGAAAGATACTGTTGGAACTAAGGTATTCATAATAAAAACATAGGATTCACTTTTGCCACATATTCCTATAAATTTTATAGTATTTCTAACACAAAATATCACATCTTTCTCCCATCATTTCATTCTCAGTAGGAAAAGAGCTGTATGTTGAGGAGAAGAATTTACAAGGCAAAGAACGGAAGTATAGGTAAGCCCTAAGGGGGGACCATCACAAAAGCAGCCCAGAACCCCAGAGGCCTCCAGAGTCCCTGGTACCTCAAGGACACAAAATTTTCCAGGTACAAAGTGCTGCCCAAAGCTTATCATGACTGGGCCTGAAGCTGAGACATTGAACTGTCTGCTCTTTCCATTGGCTGTCAGATCCTGCACACTGTGTTATTTTCACTACCCCGAGGCATGAGCATGTCAGATTGGTATAGTAAAGTATCTTAGACGTACTATCAATAATAAGAGAAAATGTCCAGTGGTTGTTGCTTGAAAAGACAATGAGCATGAGTTGTCAAAAATACACAAAGGAAATCAACTTATTCACCTCAGAAATGAATATTTATAACACATCTGTTGTCAGATGTATGAGGATAAGGGTCTTCACTTGTCCTAAGAAAAAAAACAAGGTGTTAAATATTGGACTTGGGACCCTCTACAAGCATAAGATCTTAAAAATAATTCATGAGATTTTATGTAACACCTTAAAATAGTTTAAGAGATTCTCATTTTATTCTGTAAGCCACGAACAACGACTGAAAATGTTCATACCAAGAGACACAACCACTGTCTCTTAGGGTCTTGCTTAAGGAGGTAATTCAAGTGCAAAGATAAAGTTTATAATCATTCATACTAAGAATGAAATGAAGAAATTGAATAAAATAAAGTTTTGAGTCTTAGGAAAATAAAATAAACAGCTCACCTCACTTGGCTAATAATTAAAATTTTTGAGCATACCTGAGAAGGGCCCAAGGGAAATGCAGGAGACCCGCTGGGTGAAGATGGGCAGACTCACACCTGCGGTAAAGGTGTAGCCAGAATTCAAGGGCACCAAGAACCTCAGTTCATTAAAACATCCAAAAATAGCAGGAAAAGGATGAATTAAAGGTTATCGGTCAAAGGAATCAAATATTCATTCACTCATATCAGAATAACTAGGAGATATGACTTAATTTTTAGGAAAAGTGATTTCACTTGATGGAACTAAAAAATTTCTTTTATGGAAATATACAGTTTTAGAGTCTTGGCCACAGTGAATGAAGAGGTACTGACCAAGAAAAAAAGTATTCTAGAAAGTTACTACATTCTCCATGGTAGTATTCTGCCCTTGAGGATTTTCACTCCAAATAAGAAAATTTGAGGGAAAACATGGACTGGACCAATGGAACCTCCACCGACTTCATCCTTCTGGGGCTCTTTCCAGGGTTTGGGCACCCTGAGCTCCTGATTCTCATTGTTCTCCTCATCTACACTGTTGCCTTTGCCGGAAATTCTGTCCTGATCCTCCTCATCTGGCTGGACTCCCGCCTGCACACCCCCATGTACTTCCTGCTCAGCCAGCTCTCGGTCATTGACCTGGCTTACATCTCCAGTACAGTGCCCAAGACGGCAACCAACTACTTTGAAGGCAGGAGAAGCATTTCCTACTTTGCCTGTGCAGCTCAAATGTTCTTTTTCCTCACCCTCGGCCTGGCGGAGTGCATCCTACTGACTCTCATGGCCTACGACCGTTATGTGGCTGTCTGTAACCCTCTGAGGTACGCAGTCCTCATGAGCCCCAAGGTCTGCCTGCAGATGGCTGCTGCAGTGTGGACTGGAGCAGCTCTTGCTGCCCTGGTCCACACCATCTACCCAATGCATTTCCCCATCTGTGGCTCCAGGGAGATTAACCACTACTTTTGTGAGATGCCTGCCATTCTGAGGATGTCTTGTGCAGACACATCGGTCTATGAGATGGTGAAATTTGTATCCACCATCGTGTTTCTCCTGGTCCCGTTTATTCTCATCCTGGCCTCCTACACACTCATATTCCTCACTGTCCTCAGCATGAACTCACGAAAGGGGAGGAATAAAGCCCTGGCCACCTGCTCCTCCCACCTGATGGTAGTGAGTCTCTACTTTGGCCAAGCCATCTTCATCTACATGACACCCACATCTTCCCACACACCTGAGCAAGACCAGGTAGGAGCCGTGCTCGGCACCATCGTGACACCCATGCTCAACCCCCTCATCTACAGCCTGAGGAACAAAGAAGTGCTGGGGGCCCTGAGGAAGTGCACGGGGAGGTGCTGCCACTGCGAACATTGCCTGTTTCTACAGTGTGACGCTCAGAAATGTTTTATCTTCAACTTTAAGAGTGTCCGTAACCAACTGAAATCCTAGCTATGTCCGTCACACTGGATATAAACATGGGCGTAGGATTCACGTACACTGGCATTTGTGGCAATGGCCTTACCCTTACTGCCACAGCGATGACTTTCGATGAGGACAACCTCAGTAATTATCATTTATTAAAGAATGGCATGGATTTTGACAATAATATTGGTGCAGAGATAAATGCTTTCCATCTCCTTTTTCAGCCTTAATGCACTGGGTCACAATGTCAAAAAACGATTTTCTTCCTAGAACACCCTGACTGAAACTTCTAATTAAAAAATCACTCTGTTGTTTGCTTTCACCCTATTCACTTTTAATGATGCTCACTCTGTCTGCACTGTCCAGGAGATCAAAGATCACTTGCTCCATGAAATCTTGCTATGTTATCCTCCCCTTCCCCAAACTCCTATTTACAGAAACACATTACTGCTATAATTTGCTACAAATAATTCATGAAGTTGTATTTTCTCTCCTAAATTAAAAAAAAAAGTCGCCATATGTAAATAGAAATCACAGAGGTGAACTCAGGGAAATCTTTAAGAAAATAGATGGAAATTCCTTTTTCCTTTTTTTCCTCCTAGATCTCATCATTCTTCATTTTCATTGTACACTAATGTCTATAACTCTCACGCAATGTGAGAGTGTGATGTACAATTTTGTGATCATATTCAGTGTGGTTTCTGAGGCTTACAATAAGCTGAAATTCCCTATGTCGGTAATGGCGAACCTTCTAGTGCTTTCAACGATAACCAAGAGCCCCCTGCAGCATATGTGCCACAGGTTCGCCACCCCTGTTCCCCGTCTCTCAGCACAACAAACAATAATAAAATATGCCATTGTAAAATTCCAGCTCTTTTAAAGATCACATTTCAGCTTCTTCATTATCACTGACATCGTTTCAGCTTCATAATCATAACTTTCTAAAATAATTTAATTTTGATAATTTGAAAATTATACGGAGCGTTTGTCGCTGGAGCCCACCACTCTGAGATACAGAACCAGACACCCCCTGCTCCGTTCCTAGGGTGCAGGTGCCACTTCTGTGGCCGCTGTGGCTCTGTGACCTGTGGGTGCTGACAGATGCCCGACACGTCCCTGAGGCCCAAACTTGGGACCTGCATGTGTTAGGCGGGTGCTTTTGTTGCAGCACACGGGCGTGTTTAATTGAGTCACCCACGGAGGCCGGATGCAGAGATAAGCGAGTTTACTAGCTGTCAGTCAGCCCTCAGCAAGGGATCAGGCACCAACCCCGAAGGGCAGGAAGGAAGAATATTTATACGATTTCAGTCCTGGGTCTAAAGGGGTGGTGAGGTTTTTCCTGATAGGATTCTATGAAGCTGCAGAAATACTCCTACAGAGCATGGGCTTAGCTTGTGACGAAGGAGCAAAGGTGCTTGTACTTTCTATTAGGGGCGGGGTGCAAGGTGTACAAAGCACAGGGTGGCATCAGTTTAAGCACCTATGACAACATCTACAAGGAACAAACTTAAGGAAACTGAAACTTAAGCTTTAAAATGGCACTAGGGTACAGAACGGTGTGGATTTGGTTCCCTTTGCCGTATCACTTCAGCACTGAGTCACACCCTAGCCCTCCTTTGTCTTATGCTCCATTTAAAATTATGAACCAAGAGCTAAAAGTATTGTGGAGGAGAGGTGGCTGTACCCAGGAGTTGCTCCAGGAGCCACAGCCACAAGCGGCAGGTGCGAGGCTGTGTGTGCACACTGGGGTGCAAGAGCCACAGCACCACAGCCTGAGGGAGTCAGCCGCTGACTGAAATCAAACAATACTGGTAACCAGAGAGACAAGTGATGGGAACAGCACAGTCCGGTCCTGAACGCCCGCAGCTCGGAGATGAAGCGGGTCTTCCCTGCAGTGCGGTGGCAGGAGGACTCAGTGGTCTCCTGAGACCTCTGGGTCCACACTGGGGTGGGGAGTCAGCTCTTGCACATGATTGAAGAGAGACAGGAGTGGCAGTCCCTGTCCTGTCCTCCAGACCTAGAGGTGGTCAGAGCAGGAAGCCCCCTTAGAAGCACCCGCCTGGCCAGAGCCGGAGAAAACGATCCCCATCAGAACAGGGGCAGGAGCTGGCGTGAGCAGCTCCCTCTGCCTAGACACAGAAACCCCATGTCGGCCGTGGCTCTAAATTGTAACCACCGCTGTGCTGCAGAGAGGAGGGACTGGCCACCGACCTTAATGACTAGTAGGCTCTGGACAGGTAGTGACTGGGACATGGAGAGCGACCCTGTGTCCCAGCACGCAGGACCCTGAAGTCTGGGCTGAGGGAGCCACCCTGGTGCTGATGGGGCAGAGCACACAGTTTGAGCACAGTGCGGGGGTGCGTGGCCAGACAGTGAGTCAGCTGCAGCAATGGGACGGGGTCCTTCTGTGGGAGGGTCCTGCAGGGGCCCTGGGAAGCCAGGCCTCAGAAACCTCCAATGCACAGTCCCTATGCACCCACCTTCCTGTTGATCTGCCTGGAGCCCTAGGAGTGAAGACAGTGGCAGTCACTGCTGGCCACACCTCCTGGAGCATCTATGCACTACGACAGATGCTGCAGGGTTGGCGCCCCCTCCACATGGGCCTGTGGGTGGCACAGGTGGCAAACTTGGTGGGCTGTGTGGATTCTCCAGCCCAGTCACTCCAGGGTGTTGAGGAGTTGAAGTCAGTTAATAATCCAACCCCTGAAGCATAGCCAGAGCAATTAGATGAGAGAGAGAGAGAGAGAGAGAGAGAGAGAGAGACAGAGAGAGAGAGAGAGAGAGAAGAGGAATAAAGACAGGAAAGGAAGATGTTAAATTATCATTACTTGTGGATGACATGATACTCTACATAGAAGACTCCCAAAACTCCACCAAGCAAGGGACTTCTAAGTTTAATAACCAAATTCAGCTGTGTAGCTGGATACAAAGTCAACACCCCCCCAAAAAATCAATAGTATTCCTATACACAAACAACAAACACGCTGAGAGGGAAATTAGGGAAACCACACTGTTCAAAATAGCACCCCAAAAAATGAAATACCTAGGAGTCAATCTAACAAAGGAAGTAAAAGATCTATACATTGAAAATTATAGTACTCTGAGAAAAAGTGATTGAAGAGGATATCAGAAAATGGAAAGATAGCCCTGCTCATGGGTAGGAAGAACCAACATAGTGGGAGTGGCCATACTCCCAAAACTGTTACACAAATTCAGTGAAATTTCAATCAAAATATCATTAGCATACTTCACAGAACAAGAGAAAACATTCCTAAAATTCATCTGGAACCAAAAGAGACCTAGAGTAGAGAAAGCAATTCTGAGCAGCAAAAGCAAGGCAGGAGGCATCACAATCCCTGATTTGAAATTATACCACAAAGCTTCTGTGATAAAATCGGCATGGTACTGGCAATACAAAAAGACTTATGGATCAATGGAACAGATTAGAAGATGCAGACACAACTACAAACACACTCAGCTAACATATCTTTCACAAAGGGGACAAACATGTTCACTGGTAGAAAGACACCCTCTTTAATAAATGGTGCTAGAAAAACTGGGTTTCCACATGCCAATGACTACAACTAGACCCATGTCTATCACCATACACTAAACTAAAGCAAAAATTGATCAAAGATCTAAATATTAAAACAGAAACACTAAATCTACTGGAAGAGAAAGTAGGTAGAAATCTTGAAGACATGGATGTAGGCAGAGACTTCATGAACAAGAGCCAAACTGCATGGGAAATATAATTCAAAGATCAACAACTGGGATCTCATCTTATTAAAGAACTTTTTCACATCAAAAGAAATCATCAATGGAGTGGAAAGAAAACTCACAAACTGGGAGAAAAATTTAGCCAATTGTCCCTCAGACAAAACTTATATCTAGAATATATAAAGTATTAAAAAACAAAACAGAAGTTGGGTGTGGTGGCGCATGTCTGTAATCCCAGCACTTGGGAGGCTGAGGCAGCAGGATCGTTGTGAGTTTGAGACCAGCTTGAGCTAAAGTGTGAGCTCAAGGCAAGCCTGAACTGCATAAGGAGATCCTTTCTCAAAAAGACCAAAAAAAAAAAAAAAAAAAAATCAAACCCCCAAAATTCAAAGACCCAATCCAAAAATGGGTATCTGAGATGAAGAAATACAAATGGCAAACAAACATGAAAAAATGTTCACCATCACTGGTCATGTCAGAAATGCAAATTAAAACAATGCTAAGATTCCATCTCACCCCAGAAAGAATGACTATCTTCAAGAAACCAGCCAATAACATGCTGGAGGGACTGTAGGGAAAAAGGAACCCTTCTCTATTGTTATTGGTAATGCAGATGGGGACAACCACTGTGGAAATCAGTGTGGAGATTCCTCAAAAAGCTAGGTTTAGACAGCCCCTTTAACCCAGCAATTCCCCTTCTGGGTATCCACCCAGAAGAATTAAAAACATCGTAGCACAATGATACATGTGCACCTGTGTTTATAACAGCAGAATTTGTCATAGCTAAATCCTGGAAACAATCCAAATGCCCATCAACCAAGGAATGGATAAAAAAGATGTGTTATTTTCACACAATGGAGTATTACTCAGCCATAAAGAAGGATAAACTTGAGATTTTATAGGTAAATGGATGCAACTTGAGACTCTAATCATGAATAAAATAAATCAGACTCACATGTAAACATCATACTCTCTCCCTGATATGAGAAACTGAGAGAGTAAATAACGTCTAAAATGTATAACATATATTGTGAGGTGGGAAGAAATTGTTCAAAGGGAAAGGAGAACTAGCATGGGAGAAAGAGAAAAGGATGGGAGGGAAAGGGGACTGGGAAGCAAGTCAGTTACATTATTAGTGCTTCTTAGCTCATTGAAAGGGAAGATTTATGCTAATATTGATTGGAGAAAATTTTAATGCCCATATCTTGTACACTGAATAACTACTTTAAAGATAACAATATGCAGCGTATTAACTGTTGCTATTCTTCTACTGTTTTGTTATGAAATTTTGTTTTACCTTTTTCTCA